TGTACTGGGTCCACAGCTGAGGGAATATATAAATAGATTGTTTGTGATCAGGATTTGATGGCTCTGTTTCCAGAGCATTAACTGTAACATGAACCTGTCTGCAGAACAGGATCAGGCTAGTTATCCCACTTCGAAAGACATTTTTTTATTCAAATTCAAATGTTTCGATGTTATTGATTATATACGGTTAATCTCCAAATCTCCAACGTAGTATTGACACATAATACTGATACAACAAGAATCAAATGATGGCATCTTCATACAGCAATGCAATCAAAAAATAATGCATTTCTGTATTTCTGAAAACAATTTACTTATTTGATACTTAATATATAAAGAGCAATGATGTTATAGTTTCCCACATCCCATGGTGACATCTTTGAATGGCTAATTGGTCTGAAACCCAAAGATATTCTTTTAGTTTCACGTTTGTCAAAGAAAAGCATAACCCTTACGTTTGAGATGCTGGATCCAGCAAATGTTTTGCATTGTTACTTAAGCAATAGCTAAAGTGATGATTGATTATTAAAATAGTTGAAGACAAAATGTCTGTTGATCAGCTAATCGCTTAGTTTATCATTGATCCCCTGATAAACATCGACCAAGAATGACTAAAGACTTGATGTTTGACCTGCCGGGCCCGTGTTTAGCCGTACGCTTATCACAATATCTATAGCCTGTTGTTGATCACTTCATGTAACTACCAAATTACCCAAATAAACAGGACATGTAAACATACCCAAAATAAAAGTTTTGTCTTGAAAATCAACAAAAAATGTTGCCTAGATTTGTCTTAGGTGTGAACACAAAACCAACTGGCATAAAGCCACTTATTTCTGAGTGGAAGACACAATGAGTCACTCTTCCCTGCTCATTCACTCACAGTGCCTTTTTACTGCAGCACAGTTTTCCAACATGTCAAATAACTTTCTGTGGTTTCTCAAGTGCAACTATGTGCTACATTTATAATCTTACACCTAGCCAGACTGTGTTTCTGTTTCAGAGCCATTTGACCTGATGCATAGCACAGAGATAATAGAGCACTTTGGTTTTGAGACTGCAATTTAAATTGTGTCATTAAATCCTGCTCTGCCTTTACAAACAATCCTCAGGAAATCTGTGGGCTACTGTCAGCCTCTTACAACTGTTAAAGCTGGGAGAGAGCCCAGGAGACATTTGAAGAAGAAGCTTCAGTTCTCACTATCCAACCTCCAATAATTTACTGAGCAGTGTTACCTATCAATCTTTGGTATCAGAGTATTATTCTGATGTCTGGGTAGCTTTGAAAATAATGTGAAAAAGCTGTGTCTGTCTAATGTGGCCATGGAAGCTTTTAAACCATCCTACAGGCCTTTATGAGAGGAATGACCATCATAGGGTTCACCTACAAAAGACCGTGCTAAGTGACTTTAAAGCCATTATCACAAGAGTTGGAAAACATTTGCTAATCCAATTATATACAAATATATACGTTGCCATGCTGAAAAAAAGGATTTCTTCATAAATTAACTAAGTATACAGAATGATTTAAATCCTGATGTTAATTCAAATGCACTTCAGGAATGCACGCTATTACTGCTGTTTGTGTGTAGAATAATGGACTAAGCTACAACTGCTTTCGTTTTGCAACTGTGCAAAACTGTGCTGCATAATGCCAATAAATAATCCTTACAATTTTGAATCCTTATATATAACCCCTCAAGTTTAACAATGTAATAAATGTGATTTATACTGGGGGCTGTTTGTTCAATGTTGATTGGTTTCAAATGCACCACACCCAGCTTTTATGAAACAGGGAGTTTAGGGTCATTAACATAATAACAGTATTATTCCTGAGACATTGCCCTATATTGGCTCGCATTAAGACTGGTCCCTACCCTTCCCTTGGGGGATGTCTAAATACTATCAGCCTGATCCAGGTGTAAATGCTAAGCATAAGACAGAAACGATATGTTTCAGGTATGACATTTTTTACATCAGATGCCCCTTATATCTGTTTATAGAGTTTATAGAGCATTTTAAAAAAAAAACTTTAGAATGTCTAACATTTATTTTCTGTCTGCAAAGCCCTGAAAACACATGCCTCTGTTCCATCATTATTTTTAAATTAAAAGCAAATGTAGTAATGTGTAATTGCCTTACATTTAAAGATAAGAATCCTATTTAAATTCAAATCAAATTCTTATCTTATTATTTATCTGGTAATATGGTCATTTTACATGTGGTTTTGTCAAAAAAAGAAAAAAAACATTATCAAATGATATGCCCAATAAAACCTGAACACATCATTAAGCTTTTATAGCTGTGTTGACAGTTTGATCAAGTGGCCATAACTTTTCCTGAAAATTTGAAAGGTAATAGCAGTTGTGATATGCTTTCATTTATATGAGAAAGGTATTTAATATTGATTTAATGAAGCCTATAAACTGTTAAACCTTGTTTGAGATATTGTAACATCATTTTAATACATAGTTTGGTTTTACTTTGTGTGTGTGTGTGTGTGTGTGTGTGTGTGTGTGTGTGTGTGTGTGTGTGTGTGTGTGTGTGTGTGTGTGCGTGTGTGTGTGTGTGTGCGTGCGTGCGTGCGTGCGTGCGTGCGTGCGTACATTTGTAAACAGTATTAATAAGGTATTTGTATTTGACATGCATTTATTCATAGGAAGCTGTGTTTTTAGACTGTGTTACCATAGCATCTGAACATAGCAATATTTCACTGTGTATCCATGTATGTTTCATAGTTTATTGTTTTCTTCTAATGTTTTTATTCAATATTTTTGTTGAATTGTGAATCATTTTACTGTAAAATATGTGCCGTATGTGTCAGGAATGTTTGTGTTTGTAGATGTATTTATTGCCTGTATAACTACATTAGCATTGGTGGAAAGTAACTAAGTATATTTACTCAAGTATTGTACTTAAGTACACATTTGAGGTAGGCTACTTGTACTTTCAAGTTAGTATTTTATTGATCTACTCGACGCCTATTTGTAATCAAATGTTGTACTTTTAATAAACTGTGTTTATTTAACAGATATAATTACAATCAACTTTATAAATTCAGATGTTGACACACCTTACTTAGACAAAACGTTTAAAAATATATTTGTTAGGCTATATTAAACAATCCAACATTACCTAAAACCATGAGTGGGTCGACTGAAAATGTATTGTCAGCACTAATACACTAATACGTGTATTGTTCACAAGTCAGCTTCTTAAATGTGAAGGAGTTATGCTTTAAAAAATGTAAAGCTTTTGAGTACTTTTACAACTTGTATTTTAAGGACATTTTTCTTAATCGAACTTAAATACGTTTATCCACTTGTACAATTTCTTCGTTCGGTACCTTTACTTTTAATTAAGTATTTTTAAAGTGTGTTATCAGTAGGCCTGCTTTTATTCAAGGATATAATGTGAATACTCTCTCCTCCACATAATATTAGCTGCATGAAACGATTTATTTATTTGCAAATTGCCTTGCAAATATTTCCTGTAGGAACTGAAGTTCCAGGTTGTTGTTGTTGTTGTTGTTGTTCCGGTCGGTTAGCAAAGAGCACAAACAATGCTAGCAGTAGCATCAAGGCAGGCAGCAGGCTGTGGAAAACCTTTGAAAATATCAGTTTGATATGCCCATTGTAATGTAGTATATTCTCCGTTTTCGATTAATTCTTGAATGTTTGTCGACACTCACTGAGGGTAAGGGTTTTCTCTCTTATGACCGGCATTTTTACGAGACAACAATGTTTGACTTCTTAATTCATCCGTAGGCTATTGAAGTTTAGCACTGACAGTGAAGCTGCGCGCCGCATTACTTCAATTGGTTTTTCCAAGTGAAATGTTCCACTGAGGATTTTTATTTTGAGCTGTACGATTTTCATCTGAAGTAGATTAACTTCACTTCAGTGTCCACTGCCTAACTTCTCTCCAGCTGCTGAAAGGTGAGGCTTCTTTAAGTCCATGACCACCCTCTGCTGGTTCAGGGTAATACTGAGCAGCCAGCTGGCCTGGTATTAATATGCAAGCTTTACAGAGTGTTGCACAAGTGCTGTTTGTGCTGCATAAAAAAACATGACATTCATTAGCTTTCCTACTAGTATTATTCAGAAATGTATTTTATGTCAGGATAAGCTAATTTAGTATCTCGTTCTCAAGGGTGTCTCAAACCAACACTTACAAACAAACGGAAATCAGAAAAGCACAAGACACAATTATATAAAACAAAAAAAATTACACAAATCAAACTAAATAAAAAGATACAAATGAAAGCAGGATTATACATAAAAGCTAGATATAAACCAAAAATATATATTTAAAACAGATCAAAACACATATAAAGTAAACATGACGTCATTGCTGGAAATGTTGGGCATTTGGACATTAGTTTTGAGATGTGAAAACGTTTAAAAATAAATAGGATTATGAGCATGACCATATGTATCAAGAGTTGTAATTTATGCCTTTTTAAGGTGAAGAAAATGTTCATTATATTTTCCATTCATTGAGTAAGACTATAAACAGAGCCCCAGTATCACCTGAACCAAACCGCTATTATCTTTAATTAGAAACATTAATCATCAGTGTCAGTGTGTGAGACTGCGTCATGATCATAGGAATTGTAGGATTATAGGACTTTATATAAGCAAAGTCTGTGAACTCATTCTATGACACACTTTGGGAAATATGTGTACCTATTTATCTTTGCGAAATCAAATAAGTCCCTTAACCACAATGATGTCACTGCTTAGAAATGTTCTGTCACTGGGCTTTACCATGCTCTGTATTTTATGTTGCAGAAGGAACATAAATGCTGAATGCTGTTAAATAGTAGGAACTAAAACAAAAAACTATAAATAGTTAAGTGGCATTTTGATGAATTTCAGTTTCTGTTTCTTACTCGGGATGTGGTATTTTTCATGGTGTCTGATACTGTGTCCTGAGTGTTGTGTAACTCTTCGTGTCACAAGCCACACCTTTCCACGCCTCTTAACAAGTGGTAGGTACAGTTGAGCCCCGGCTCAAACACATAAGTGAGTTGCTAGCAACGATGGAATAAATCTGCAGGACTGGACAAGTATCCAACTTTACAGAATCATGTTATGGACAATATTCTTACTTGGACTTCTTATACTAGTGCTCCTTTACTCCACTCGCACAAGGTAAAGCCATTCAATAATATGTTGCTTTTTATAGATATGAGATTCTTATCAAAAGGGGCTGTTCAGGGATTGGAATATGTTGAGTCGAAAGGTCTGCAAAATCATATTTTGCAAATATACTGTAATTTATACAAATGTGTTATTTTCTAATGTTTAGTACATTTAATATGAATCATAGATATTAGTCAATAGCAATATGTACATAGGAATGCCTCTTAATTCACTGAATGATAGATGTCTGAACAATAATGACTCTTAAACACTGATTCTCTGTATTCAGTTTTGTCTTTATACAACCTAAAATAATACATTCAAAATAATAATTATGGCTTATAACGTGCTGCAGAGCTTTTTTTTACCACGTGATAAAAAGCTGTTGAAATCGCACTACTAAATATGAACTGCAAACCTGTTGGTTAAAATGAATAACTGGAGATGAACTGTTGTGGTTTTAACACGTTTCTTTATTTGGACAGACAGAAAAATGAGCCCCCTCTGGACAAAGGTTTCCTTCCGTGGTTGGGCCATGCTCTTGAGTTTGGAAAAGATGCTGCAAAGTTTTTGTCCCGGATGAAAGACAGACATGGGGATATCTTTACAGTAAGTTCAGATTCAGACTGTTTAATGGTCATGTACAGCTTATTTTCTTGATATATGGCACTGTTTAAAGTAATGATAAGTTGTTTTGACATTGATTAATTTTGCAATGCAAACTGAAATAAAAGGAAAAGGTAATAGTTTGAATATGTTTTTGCATACAGGAGCAACAAGTCTGATCACATTTGTGATATGAAATGCAAGTCAGGTTTCCACAGCAGCAACAAGTTGTTCATTTTAACAAGACACCATTATGCATGTGTTGTGATAGCAAGTAGATTTGCCCCATAATGTTTTCAATCTGAACATAAACAAAATTAATACTTTCCTGGCAATCCATTATTTTCTCCCATTTAAAGTACAATATTTCACTGAAGCCTTTTAGCAAAAGACCGACCAGAGTTGTTGAAAATAATGCATTTGAAAGCAATGACTTTTGGTACAAAGAAAATTAAATAAAGTGATGTCATCCCAGGTCCGTGTTGCTGGCAAATACGTGACGGTGCTGTTGGACCCAAACTCTTTCGATGGCGTAATGAACGACACAGTCTGCTTGGACTTCACCCGCAGCAGAAACCAGGTCATTCAAAGGATCTTCAGTCTGCAGCTGCCGAGTATCAAACCTTCAGCGGAGAGGCAATGGATGGAACAGTAATTACCCATGCTTTTAAACATAGCGTTTAGAACTCACTGAACAATAACACTTAAATCTGCTTTAAATGAGTAAATCTCACAATCAATTATTTTTTCTTAGGCATTTTCAAGGTCTCAATCTCTCCAAACTCTGCGGCTCGATGAACTCTAACCTCCAGAAGCTGCTGCTGAGCGATCAGAGCGGCTGCAGTCCTTCAGAGTGGAGACAGGACGGGCTCTTTAACCTTTGTTACAGCCTACTCTTCAGGTAACTCACAGCATTTCAACACAGTACATACTGTCAATCAAAACTCAGTGTTTATAATACCAGGAATATTTGTGTAACTTTTATTGCTGTGCTCACCAGGGCGGGATACCTGACATTCTTTGAGAAGAGAGACAACGCTACTGAAGTGTATAATGAGTTCCGCAAGTTTGACGATCTTCTCGCCAAACTGGCTCGCTGCTCACTCAGGCGAGGTAAGCGGCACAATAGTGAATGAAAGTAAGGTTATCTTGCAGGTTTATTATCAGACTAGGCCTATAAAGCTCAGAGGGTATGTATGAATGAATGAATGTCCCTTCTTCAACAGATGAAAGCAAAACCGCCAAGCTATCCCGGGAGCGACTGTGGGAGCTGCTGACCCCCGAATGTCTGAGGGGTTACTCAGAGTCAAACTCCTGGCAGCAGAAATACCATCACTTCCTGCAGAAGGAGGGAATAGATGCAGAAATGCAGAAAAAAGCGCTACTCTTGCAGCTGTGGACCACACAGGTGAGAGCGGCTTTATTGTCTGTCTGTCTCGCCTCATCACACACACAACAATCTCAAACACAAACAAGATCACACAATGTTTCCAAAACATAAAACCCTTCCACACCCAGCCTGCATGCTTGAATTTCACTCCGGTGTTCTGACTGCCAACAATGCAGTAGTGAAGGCTGTGGATTCCTCTCTGCCGGTTACTCAGAGCAACCTGCCTCAACCTGTATCACACAGTGCGTTTTTTTTCGGTTAGGGTCATGTCAATCTGTTTCCATGATCTTGTTTGAGGTTTAGTAATTACATATTAGTACGGTGTGCACGAGAACTGCATGAGTCAACCCAATTAGCTTCTTCTTTTTCCCGCTTCACACTGAAACTACAGAGTGACATGCACTCGCACGCAGGATTTGTGTATGAAGAAGTTTGTTTAATTAATAAAACTGTCTTGGATACTTAGCTAGTCTTGTGCAAGACTTAACACCTCACACACAAATCCATCTTCTTGGGCTCAATGCACAAAGTCTCCATTATTAACACTATTTGAACAGGTGTGAAAAAAGAATTTTTGCTTCCTCAACCTCACTAGTTCAGACAAGTTCAGAACAAAGGGTGTCATTGCTCAGTGTTTCCAGGTGGGGGAGACAGTGAGCTGTTTGAATGTCCTTATGTATGCTATGCTACATGTTGGCTGTAATATCTTCAGTCCTCTGTCTACCTGCCAGTCTCACTGGAGCACCAGACAGCCACCCAGTAACACAGAGGATCCTTTTCTACCAGGTGACACACCTCAGGCTCTTCAAGAGGCTCTGCTGGTTTGGGAAAGACTTCTATTCCTCCAGACTGTTTGCTTGTGCTTCTTCGTGTCTGCTGGGATATTGGAGCACACAGTCTCAGTCTGGATGGAAACTGGAGCGCGGCTGCAGAGAATAGAGGCATTAGCTGGCAGTCCAGTGGGACCTGCCAGAGTCAATGTGGCTTATGTGTGACAGGCAGACTGAGGTAGTTCAGAGTGCAGTGCTAGGATTTCACTCGAGCCACCTACCACCTCATCATGAGTGCTGCAGAAGCTATTGGATGATGTTTTATTTAGAAACAATCAATGTTATTGACTGAAACATATACAGTATCGACTGAAATTGATTTATTGGTTGTTTTCCTTTTTAGGTGAGATAAGGACCTCGTTTTTTTTACACTCTGAACCTCAGAGATGTATTTTTAGTACACAAATAAGTCTTGATTATAATTAGAAAGTTGTTTTTTGGAAAATAAAGCAAATCACTGGCCATATTAGTGCATTTCCCAGTAGTTATACCCTAAAGTACTCATATTTGATATTCTTGGAAAATATGCACATGTCCAGAGTTGCAATGTGTTCGATGTGAACAATGAAACCACTCTCATGAGTATACACTAAACATGTAGCTTGAGACAGCAGCTAGTTAGCTTAGCTTAGCATAAATAGTGGGAATAGCTAGCCTGACTCTCTTACGATAACAAAAACGGCCAACAAGCACCCTTAAAGATTGCTCACTGACATGGACATTACATGACATGTTACTTGTTAGACGCTTTTATCCAAAGCGACTTACATACTCAATACTGTGGACAATCCCCACAGGAGCAATTTGGGGTGAAGTGTCTTGCCCAGGGACACAATGACATGCTGACTGCAGTGGGGTTTGAACCTGTGCTCCCCTGATCTGAACACCAACGCACTAACGCACTGCGCCACAGCCTCCCTCCCTGGACATCTCATTTGTTCTATGCAAAAAGTGATTCTTAAAAACATCTACAGTAACATCGTAAGCCTAACGTTATGATATAAGTACCTTGGTGTCCATCTAGATCAGGGCTATTCAATTAGTTTGGAATGGGGGCCGGTTGATGAAAATGATCCAAAGCAAGGGGCCGGGAAAAAGATGGCTTGAAATATGAGCAATCATATTTAAGAGCTTCAGATACAGTAAATACTACAACAGCATAGTGGAGTGCATATATTGTGTTTAATTCAATCAAACAACATAGCCCCAAGGCCTTTATAGATCTAAATGGCAAGTTCAGAACTCAGTAGGCCTACATGTTTCATTTGATTTCATTTAGGTGAAAGATCTAATCATTCACGCAGAGATGCAATCAATGACAGGAGTTGTCACTACAGTATAGTAGGTGGGTTCGAAACCCGAGCCCGTCGAAGTTTTCAGGCATTGTCTACCCCTCTATCTCTCAATGTAACACCCTCTCTGGAATAAAGGCACTATGGCACAAAAAAAAAAAAAAAAAAAAATCTTAAAAAAAAAAAATTGATTACTTTTTAACATTATACTCAAAGGGCCAGTAAATATCACCCCGGGGCCGGATTTGGCCCGCGGGCCGCCAATTGAATAGCCCTGATCTAGATAATACACTCAGCTGGAAGGCGCATGTTCAAGGTCTGTGCTCTAGACTTCAGCAGTGGTTGTACTTTCTGCGTCGACTCCGGGCTATCGGAGTCGACCAGAAGTTCATGTTACTGTTCTATCATGCAGTGTTGGAGAGCATCATGAGGTATGGTATCACTGCCTGGTATGGTAACTTGACAGTGCAGTCAAAGTCACAGATCGCTCGCCTGGTACAGACTGCTATGAAAATTATGGGGGTTAAAAAACACCCATCTCTCCAAAACATATACGAGCAGTCCATTATCAGACAGGCAAAAAAAATGGTGTCTGATCCCACCCACATACTCCACCCAGAATTCCAGCTCCTACCTTCTGGTAGAAGATTCAGGGTTCCCAGGAGCAGGCTGAACCGCTATAAGCACTCATTCCTACCTATGTCGATTAAGCTTCTTAACATTCACATGAAATGAAATGTAGTCAAATGTAATGAAATGTACTTTTTTAAATGTTGGCCATGAGGGTTGTGTAATAGGTCGCCATTGTCAGTATGTGCGTCTGTGTATTGTGTTTGTTCAAACGGTGTATGACTGATGATATGTGTATGTCTCTTAAAGGTGGGGTAGGTAATTTCTGAGAAACCAGCTCGAGTGCGTAGAATTTGAAAATACACAACCGAAGAAAATCTGCCACTTCCTTACAGAGCCCCTCCTCCAACACACACGAACGTGCACATGACCAATGAGGGCACGAGATAAGTTTGTGCACAGATGGAAGGCTGACAGGCAGGTAGGCCATCCAGTTACTTTAGCCGGGCCGGCTAAAATGATTGGTCGTGCTTTTTACAGTATTACGGCTTCCACAGATGACGTTTTTTTTATGGATTTTTTGTCAAAGCACTTAAGATATTCATTGCTATCGGGATGTTAAGAGCATTCCATGGAATATAACAAAAAGTGTATCTCGAGCCGGTTTCTCAAACTTACCTACCACACCTTTAATGTCCACTATGTTTGTATATGTACATGTATGCGGAACTGCAGGACGGAGTCCAGAACAAATGTCCTTACGGGGACAATAAAGTATATCGTATCGTATCATATCGTATCGTAACGTTATGCAAGTGTCATGAAACTTCTTATCTAACGCTCAAAGTATTTTTCCCAAAAGCCAATTTAGTCCCTTAAAAATAGCCCTTTGGGTCCTGGTAACCGTGTTCATGTCATTATCTGTGGCATCAGTTCTGCTGATCTGAAGATGTAAGATGTTGGAAAGTCACTGTGATTCACATTCGGTCACTTTTGGGTATTTGCCCTGGCTGTCAATGGAGAGCTGACCTGAGATATGCAGGGATGAAAAGAACAGCTCCCTTAACCCGTAGCAATTACTGTCTGACAGGCTCAGGTGTCTCCTCCCGAGAGGCCGACAGCAGTGTCTACAAACTGCCAACTGATTCAGGGACTTTTCTCATATCAGTCATATTCAGACAGCAGCATTACAGAGAGCTGAGCAGAACATTATCTTCCCAAAACTAAATGATCAGTATCAATCAGAAGTGTATCTGCTACAAAAGTCGACTTTTGCACAGTTTTTGAAACTAGAAACTTATATAAAGGAATGAATTAGTCCTAAGTTGTTTTTTCCTTTTCAGTGCAATGCTGGACCTGCTGCCTTTTGGCTCCTTGGCTTCCTGCTCACTCACCCTGAGGCCATGGAGGCAGTTAAATCAGAGATCAGAGGCCATACTCTGCAGGATACTTCCCTGCAGCGCCCCCCCATCAACCCGCTGGAAGCACACGGCACACCTGTGCTCGGTACGTAACGCCTGCTAGCTGCTCCTTTTCCCTTCCTCACGCCTTTAACTTGGGGTCGAGCCAGTCCACTGAGGTTCAAACAAAGGCCTATTTAAATTGTTGTTGTCAGGAACAAGAAGATAAGTGCATCAGTCTGAAACATTCACAATGACACAGTGACAATTAAAGTTTGATGTGGGATTCAATTAAATAATGATTTCCATATATATTTATGTCGGGGGAAATGTTTGTGCCTCTCTAAATTAAGCCCGAGGGCTTCGCTGATATAACTCTCGCTGACACCCCTCTGACATCATCCCCTCGGCTGTCCTCTCCGTTCTACAGATAGCGTTCTGAGCGAGACCCTGCGACTCACGGCTGCGGTGATGATCCGCAGAGAGGTAGTGCATGGCAAAGTCCTGCAGATGGCCAACGGACAGGAGTACCACCTCAGACGGGGGGACGTGGTGTGTCTGTTCCCCTTCCTCAGCCCTCAAATGGACCCACAGATACACCAGGAACCACAGGTGATTTTGTGTGAGAGAGACCAGGGCATTAACAACATCAACATGTAAAACTGTTCTTGTGATAAGTGCATGAGATGTAACATTTTGTTCGATAAGGAGCCTTAACAGTCATGATACATATAGCTGTTTACCTTCATTGTGTATTTTAAAACCATATTGTACTTCACAAAGCACTCTTGAGGAGGCAGGATTAAGCAGACAGAATACATCCTTTGGGATTAGCTGCTAAATGCCTACAAATGAAACAAGTAGGAGTTGACTAGCAAGAGAGAGAGAGATCAATTCCCAATGTTCCTCACATGATTTATCTTGAACTGTTTGGTGATAATTAAATACCATTTGTAACAAAAGATACAGAGCAGGATATATATATACGATCAATGTGCATGATAGTAGAATGCACACATCTTATGCCTTTATGTTTTTTTCTTGTCTCGTCAAAACAGATTTTCAAGTACGATCGCTTCTTAACTGATAGGAAAATGAAGGATACATTCTACAAAGACGGAAAAAGGCTGAAGTACTACACCATGCCCTGGGGTGCAGGGAGCAACATCTGCGTTGGGAAAGAGTTTGCTGTGACGGCCATTAAACAGTGAGTGTAAAAATCCTACGCCTTTTTTTTCTTTTTCAATTTCATTTTGTCCATGGTGTAACTTAAGTTTAAAAGAATGATACATCCCTGATCAAAGCATTTCCTGCAATTTCACCCCAATTACCAGACGGGCAAAATCCATCTCTACATAACATTCCCCCTTATTACCATGTACATCCTGCTTTCATGTCCTCGATCATTATTAGCAACTAGCTGTATGGTAATTGCTTATACTTTGTAATTAACTCTATGAAAACAGCTAAGGATAATTAGCAGTCAGTCGGGACAGTATGTGTCTGTCAGACATCATATCCAGTTGGTTAAGGGTTAATCATACCATTACGTTTACTACTGGTAATCCTCAACAATCACAAAGGGGAATGGGTTAGTTGATGTGTAAACTGGGAATATTTCAGAAATAGGTCATTTTGAGGCTGTTTGCTGTTAATTTCTTGAATTGATTTTCACATAATAAATGCACTAAATGTTGAAAAACTAACATTAATTTTGTGTAACAATCCTGTCGACCAGTGGATGGTTTAACACTTGTTCTAAACTGCTGTTGCCTGTTTTTTCTAGGTTTGTCATCTTGCTCTTGACCCATCTGGATCTGGAGATGTGTGACCCAGAGGACAAACTGCCACCAGTCAATACGAGCCGCTACGGCTTCGGGATGCTGCAGCCGGACGGAGACCTGCAGGTCCGGCACCGACTAAAGAACACACAAAATGAAATTTGACTTGATAATTTCATTAATTGTAAATAACTGTAAAATTGTTGATTGATTGAGCTTTTGATTATGCGTACTGTAGCACTATTTATTCAGCGTTTTATTCACTGACTGCATATTTTAAATTGTTTGTTATTAATATTTTCAATAAAAAGTAAACCTGACATACTTTTAATTTTCAATTATTCTTCCATACACTCTTCATTCAAACCTATGTTTAGCTTGTTGTTTTATTTCACTTGGATGCTTAGACCATGCACATACAGGAGGATTTGTCACAACTACTTTGGAAGCTCCATGGTCTAGTTTGCAAATTACAGAAATTGAAAACCGTCCAGCTCACTATCTGGAAGTAGACCTGAAGGGTAAGTGAAGTATAGGAGATCTCATGTTTCCTACGTCCCTAGATATGTCTTGTTACCTTTTGGAAGGCCTCGATCAATATGTTGTTAATCAATGCTAACTAATTAATTACCTAACCTTATGTTGTATGAAACAGTTAAAACTAACTACTACAGATAAACAGTCCAATTATATCATTCCCAATTTGCATTTTCAGTAGAGTTCTTGCTACTACGTCATTCATAGGGGAACTTTCATACCCTTGTATGTGATGATAAGAGAAGGGTAAAGCCATACCCTCATATTTAGCATCATGAAATGTACTTCCATATGAGATGTTTGTTCAAATCCTCTCTTCACATTTACCATTGATTGGGGCTCCTTTGTTGCCGAGGTGCCTTTAAACCATACAACCCGAGATCATACAAGTATTTTTTCTTTGTTCAATGTTTTCATTACATAATTCTATTTTTCTTACAGTACACCCCGTCCTGAAGACAACAACAGTGGCCATTATTTCAGGTGGTACACACCACACAGGCGGTGCTGAAAGAGTTAATAAGATGTGGAGGAGAGCGCTGCGCTGCCATGGACCCACCTTCGGAGGATGCGGCGCCGCCTCGCACAGCTGACTGGAACACAGGTAGTGTCCGAATGGGCTCTCGGCAGACTTGTTGATCTTCGGGCGAACCACTGGTGCGAAATGCAGAGCAGGAAACCGGCGGGTGAGCAGTAGATCGTGCTGAGGAAATCTCTGCCATGTCGGAGGCAGAGGAGGGGGAAATGGATTGGGTTAGACCCTGGCAATAGTAAACCAATAACGACGCCTCCTTTTTTAAATGCTTCATCTCCGTTTGTGCCAGCGGATTGTTTGTTCACAGAGCGCTACGTGCTGGTTTGATTCAGTGCAGGATGACAACAACTCACTACGGTATAGTTTTTTATCTTATTTCCATATTTTCACTTACATTATATGTAACCTATCAATTGTAATGTGTTGTCAATGGTACATAGGACTACTGTGCATTTAAACTGCACCAATATGGAGCAGGCAGCCTCCGAAAACAGAGAAATGCTCAACGATGAAGGATTTGCATTCACAATATTGCAGTTGTAGTTGATTAAATATCTTAATAAGCTTATTTTCAATCTCAATTAAGCTGCGCATAATATCACAGTGTAGGGTACACACTGTGTTTGTGTTTTTGTTTTAGTGTTTGGTTTATTGCTGAAATGTGTTATCGAAGCCTTGATTTCAAGAAAACAGGAGGGTGGAGGCTCCTTGAAATTAACATTTATTTTCCCTGCTTCCCGCAGCCTGTTACTGCATGCTCAAAAGCCTAACAATGTCTCCATCCTCATATATCTTGTGTTCCTGATATTATTTCCTACGTTTTTTGTAATGTATGTTGACATATTGCTCAGGCCTGATTGTGTTGTTAAAGTGTTAGAAACTTTGTGTGACAGCGACCACTGATCACATCTTAAGGCCCGAGGTGTTTAGGGCTTCCAATCTCTCATCAGATACAAAATAATGATCAGCATGCAAACCTGTGCTGCTCTTGCCACGTATCAAGTCAGAATAAGAGGATTTTGGGGACGTACGTTTCTACAGGAGATGATAGAGGCTATATGTTCTTCAGTCAGCTTGCCTCCCCCCCCACCTATGGGAGCTCGCCGTGATTCAGGCAGTGAACAGCGCTTCCTGGTGTTTCAGCACCATTAGAGTGGACAGCGCTCACTTTGTACCACACTCATCATCACTGGTGTCCTGCGTCCCCACCCACAGCACTGCATGGGCGTCACACGGCCAGTGACCGACCATTAAGAAAACTATGTTATTGTTGGTCATAACATTACATCAGCTCCCATCGAGAAGAAGTCTTGGAAAAATAATAATAAGTCAGTGTTTCAAAGGTTTTGGCAGAAAGAATTCAAGGTGTTCCAAATGTTTTCTACTCAGCCCCAAATATAAATGTAAGATTCTTCAGACTGATATCTGGAGTCATCTCAAGAACACACATCTTAGAGTATGTTTATTGTAGATTAGGGACATGATTAAAAATAAATAACAGCATCTGATCAGTTGAAAATCCAGAGATAATAATTCCGTTTGTCAGTGCTAAATTTCACTCCCCTGCATGCAGGAGCTCTTTAAGCCAATGATGTTAAATTATTTTCTAAAGCAGCCTGCAGTTCCATGCTGGGTTCCCAGAGGTGTTAAAGTCGTTTTTATATTAGCGGAAAAGTCAATTTTGGATTAGGATTCCATTCAATGAGTCTTCTTTTCATGTTTAGCCAATAACAGAACAATAATAATTAATGTTTCAACAGTTTTTTCTTGTTATCTCTATATTTATCTGAAGAATCCCAATCTAAGATTGGTAATTCAGGGAATCATTTTCTAGCCTGAAATAATAATAAAAATTAATCTTCTGTTGTTTCTTTCTCTGCCTTTACACCAATGATTTTAATACTTACAATAAGTCACAAGAAACATATATAAGTGTACATTTACTGTGGATTTAGGAATTTAATATGATGCATATTTCACTATATTCAGGTATTGATAAACCAGGTATATCCAGGATAATAAAAAAAACACTTCTTGAAAGTAGTGTTTTTTTGCACCCCTCATCATGATGACATGAAATGTGAGCAGTTCAACCAATAATGGATTTGGCCACTTTGGATTGTTTGATTTCAATATTTTAGAGGCCTGAAAGGGTAGAGTATCCAATACTTCATAATGAAAAAGCAAATATTAGGAAATCAGACAAATCTAAAGTTGTTTTTGATCAATTGTTTTACTTTTCTTCTTAAATCTCTTATTACCTGCCCATGGGGCCCAGACCTAATACAACAACCTTGAATTTTGGGGCCAATCTTAGAGTACTAATGCTTTTGCTTCTTTTTGGTCATCTTTTAGATACAATAATGAAAGGAAACGGGACCAACTGTAGTCCATAGCCCTGGATGTTTGCCTGATTCCTCAACCTGAAGTCATCATGGAGAAATCCTTGGATTTGAACAAAGATGCCTCCCGCTCAACATCATCGTTACCACCTGAACCGGTGGACATCATTCGCAGCAAGTCATGTTACCGCAGAGTACGCCTGAATGTTGGGGGTCTCCCACATGAGGTCTTGTGGCGAACGTTAGATAGGCTGCCACGGACACGTTTGGGAAAGTTAAGAGATTGCAACACCCATGATTCTCTGATGGAAGTGTGCGATGACTACAACCTCGAGGAGAATGAGTACTTTTTTGACCGACATCCTGGGGCTTTTACTTCAATTCTGAACTTCTACCGCACAGGTAAGCTGCACATGATGGAAGAGATGTGCGCCCTGTCCTTCAGTCAAGAGCTTGACTACTGGGGCATCGACGAGATCTACCTGGAGTCCTGTTGCCAGGCGAGGTACCACCAGAAAAAAGAGCAAATGAATGAGGAGCTCAAACGAGAGGCCGACAATATGAAAGACAGAGAGGGAGACGAATTTGACAACACCTGTTGTGCAGAAAAACGTAAGAAGCTCTGGGACCTCCTGGAAAAGCCCGGCTCATCTGTTGCAGCAAAGGTAATGGAGTTGGGGGTGAGAGCTGGGGGTGGAATTGGTTGGAGCAATCCAAGGTTAATCAAAATAATGACATTCCCATCGTCCTTTTTTGTGAGGGTGAGTTAGCATATGTTGCTAACATGCTAAACTAAGATAATTGGTGAACATTATACCTGCTCACATTAAGTCAGCACCATCATTGTGAGTGTGTTAACATTTCAACATTTAGTTCAAAGCACCAATTAGCCTAAATATATAATGTCACAGAGATGCTAGCATGGCTGCAGACTCTTAATTTTATTTTCAAAGTGTTTCTTACTTTGACATATTGATATATGATATACGCTATACTTTCTCTCTTTTAGTGAGTAATTGCCTCTGGTTGTTTGTAGCATTTTGAAATGAAGATGGGAAGTTTTAGTTTTTAGACCACATCATTTTTTTGAATTGGCCTAGCATAAAAATGCCTGTCCACAAGAGCACAATCTTAAAATGTGCACTGCTAAGCTTTAGTGTGACTAATATGAGCAACTGTGCATAGATTGCAATTTTCAGACCTATCAACACATTTCAAAAGCCATTAACAGTTGCAAAACATTAGACAATTGAGGACACCTCTGTGTTTTGTGCTTTGCGTTTACTGATATTGTGATTGTTGCTAGGTTGGAACACAAAGAAAAGAGGGGGAATTATAGAATAAGCCAGCGGATGTGATTTACCAGTGTGGGATGTGTCCGCTATTATCTTCCATTATAGTTCAAGAACTAGAAAAAGCATGTTATGACTCTCACTGTGAAAGCAGCTCTCGGGATACATCACTCTTAAGCATCTTAAATACAACACAAAGTCCATTATATGCATCTCCTGTAATGCTTCTAGTACCAGGGTTGTAACAAAAGTCCATTCATATCGCCTATCATTTACTAGTATAGTAGTATATCGGTTCACAACTATAAAAACAGCACAAAAAAACACCTGCAATCACATCGATGAACAAATCCAAAAGCATTGAGACACACACACACACACACACACACACACACACACACACACACACACACACACACACACACACACACACACACACACACACACACACAACATGAAATATATAAAAGTAATTCCTTTTGATTGTCCCCTCTATTTTGTTAGACGTTGTTCTGTGCCTAGCATTGCCCTGAGCCAATTGTATTTGAGATATTTGGCAGAAGGCTGATATATTGAATTATATTGTTGTGCGAATGAACAACAAGTCACAAATGATTTAGAATTGTCTGAATCATTCGGATTAATCAAGGCATGTAAGGAGCACTTTTCTTTATCAATAGAGGATGCTAGTGACATTTATAGCGGATGGTTGTGTGAGACATGTCATTATTGCACACTTCAACAAACAGCTGCAGTAAGAGAGAAATTATAGACTAATTGAGTTTGCTTCTGTAACAGTTATCTCATAATTAAGCCAGCTAATTGATTTGTCAGACTACAAATATTTATTAGCAAAGAATTTAGGTTAAAAAAAAAATATCTTGCTAGAATTGTTGTATTAAGGTTTTGACCTATTTGGTTGAATGAGCATGTAACCCAGCCTCTCCGTAATATCTGTATGTTTAATGTCCCTATAGTATTTCATTGTTTATGTTCTCACCCTTCTGTTAGTCAGCTTGTAGTTCTCAATCGGAAAGCCATGCCTGAGCATACTGACTTCTATTAGATATCCGACCTTTACTCAGTGCAAAAAGACAGTTAGCCTCAGCAGGCCTCTCAGAGAGCCACACCTGCAACAACAAACTGGGAGGCATCAGCAGTGTTAAACATGAGCTGCCTTTGATCACTCCTCCAGGTTGGATTGAAGGGATCAAAGGAGATGCTGTCTCTTTCCCACTCTGTTTTTTAAAGTGAGTGGAGTGCCTTGTTTGGGAAATGTATAGGAATGAAACTATTAGCAGTGTGTGCTGGGTGATGCTCTGTGGTGAGAACTGTCAGCTCTACCCCACAAACAGACTGAGATGAGTGCTGCGAGTCTGTCAGTGAAACGTCTTCTTCATGGGAATCAAAGCGATGTAAAATCAATGTCTATTGTGTTAGAGCTGAGAAAGTGCTGTAGCCTACAGTACAAAAAGGAGATGACCACTCTGACTTGACCATGCGCTGCTGTCTCCATTATCGCACCCTGATATCTGCAATTTATCAGAGCATCACTGGAGGAACGTTTTGAAGTGCGTAACGAAGACGGGTGCTATACCTTTTGAATAATGACGCAGCAAAGTGATTGTGCTTATTGTTTCTTGAGAATGTATAGCTCTCTATAACAACCTTTTGATAAGCGGATACAGTGAGTTCCATTCAAAAGGTTTTCATCAGCTACTCTTTTGGCATCATTATAAGCCGATAGCGAAGGTTTACAGAAAAAAGAGCTACCTTGACACAGCAAGAGGCAGAGTTTATCAATTCCTAATTAGCTTGAAAGGGCAATGCGAACCACAGACCAAACTATTAAAAGCACTGATAGGGGTTGATGTATTGTCTTAGTCATTTCCTAATTGGCTGGAGCACACTGTGGGTTGTCGGGCGGACCATCTCTGACCACAGCTCATCAGCTCTGCGCTCCTATCAGGGGTCAGAGATGGAAATGTATGTTACAGCCCATAAACAGATGGCCAACGGTACAGTTAAGTAAAAAACAAACGGTTGCCAAGCAACAAAAGTATAATTTTATCATCACTGAAGGAGTAGGTAATGAACATGAGAGTAGGTCTTTTTGAGTTGCTGCAGTGTAATCGCACTCCTGCTTAGTTCCCCTTTTCAAATGTTCGCACAGAGCAACACAAGAAAGTAGTAGATGAAATATTTGTCGACACGTGCAGGGTAAAATCTTCTGCCCTGTCATCCTTCCTGTCTCTATTTCCCTCACTGGCTCATATCTTCTCTTCCTTCCTCCCTTTCTTCAGGATCCTCCACTATACCTCCAACTAAATGTCAGGGAAATGTCACGTTAATTATTCTCCAGGAGACTCCCGGCCCAATTTGAAGCTTCCCTCTCTCTCTGTTTACATTCGTTCTAAGCCACAGCATTGTCTGTCTCTTGCTCAAATAGGATTTGAGTCACCCTGAAATAAGATGGTTTGTGTCCGCTGGCAAAGCAGAGCCTAACAGTGAGATTGGTGCCAAGAAAAGTGGCATTTGTGTAATTTCATCTCAATTTTGGGTGGTTTCTTGTCATTAATAATGCAACATGTTTCCAGAGCTATTGGAAATCAGTAAGATGCTGAGACCATCGCTTGACAAGCAAATAATAACCTTAGAATAATTCAGTACAATATTCTAGTAAGAGTACAATTTAGATTTTTTTTAATCAATTACTGAAATCCCAGATACCATAATCACATTGGAGATATTGTTCACTAACATTTTTAAGATTATGTTTGATGCTGATCAAATAAATCATATCCAACTTTGGCTTCATCCAATTTACTGAAGAACCAAAGAGGAACATGAAGGTGTCTGTACATTTTTGCCTCTGGGAATCAAAATATGGATAATTAGCATTTCCTGTTCTTTTAGTGGATATTGTGTTACAGATGGCAGGCAACACATTCCAATTATGCTGCTCTCATGTCACACTTAAGATGCCATATAAATGTGGTCTGGCTACATTCCTCCGCATAAATCAGTAGTCCGCAGCTGAATCCAACACATGCAGAAACCAGACTAATCCATCACTATTTCTGACAGTTGGAAAATCACAGCCAGTCAAATGAATGATGATGTACATGAAGTCTTTAAAAAACCAGACTAGAGTGCTGTGTCCTAATTCAGGAGTTGAATCACCCAGAGTCTACATTTATAGACTGAGTAACTCATGAAAGACTGACATTACCTAGGTAGCAGCATTCGGGAATTACTCAACCTCTTTTTGTATGTGAGGAGATGCATCGCTTTGATTTCCTGCATCATAGAGTGTCTAGAAAGATATGTGGGTACGTCTCAAGGAAACAGTTGTTGACATGTTACCTTCTCTTTTTTAACGGCATCTCATTTTTTAACCTCAAGGGTCCATTCTTGGCACACTGTTGTTTTCAGTTGAAATACTTTGCCTCTGTAGGATGATTAAAAACCCAATATGACGACACAGTTATTAGTTACAATGCAATCCAACAGTTCCATTATAACTCCTTCTTCTTGCCTGACTTAATGACATCATATGCCAAAATGTAAAACATATCCGAGACTCATCCCGAAGGATTTCTGACTGCAAATGTTGCACTGGTTCTTGAAGTATAGCACTAGGATTTAACTTTTGTATGCCAATGTCAAACACATTAAAAAGAGGGTAGGTATCAGAGTGAGAAGCAAGTATCTCATGCAACTCTCAGACAATGCTCAGGTCACAATTGTGTGTTTGATAGGGGATTTGGAAGAAAATAACACATCAGATCCTGCTAGGTTATTGGCTTCCTTATCATCGTTACAAATCATTTTTTGCTTTCACATAACTTTGGAAATCAACATTCTGTTTCTATGCCATGAAGAAGACAACGAGAAGATTGTTTTCTTCACATTAAGTAGGTATTAAATTCATTTTGAGGAAGAATAAGTGAGTTTTTGACAATTACGTGGCACCAGAATAACTTTGGTGAAATTTGACAAGAACATTTTTAAGTCCATGTCGCAAATACACTACGCAATCCAAGAAACCTGCATTACATTTTATTCTTTGGGCCCCTTGGGTGTGGCAGAACAAACTGTAGACATAAGATTAAGGTATTATCACAGTTTGTAGTTAACATGGTGAAAGTGTAAGTAAACAGTTGCCATAAGCATCCAGCAGCAGACACACAGCAGCATTAGCATTCAATTTGACTCATATTTCTGGCAACCAATTTTGTTCTCTACATAAACATGAAGGAAACTTAACTTAACTCCCTTTAAGTTGACTGTTGGTGATGGACAGGTAGATGGTGTGTAGGTGCTTTGTCCAGAAAACAAGAACAAACTAAAAGATGCTGAGAAGAATTGCA